TGACATACACACACCATAGACAATCTAATGTTAGAATAAGAAGGAGGGAAAGACGAGGTGGGGGAGAGAGATGGGACGAAGGAAAGTAAAATTGCGTTTTACTTAAAGGGCCGCTTTGTAATTGAGAAAATTTGACAAATTTAATATCGACTACAGGTTACAAATCAAATATAAATATATGAAGATAAATATAACGATTATCTAATCCAGCAAGGACCTATATTTCTATGTTCAAAAACACATGCGAATACACACAATAACATATACATACACATACACATACACACACACACACACACACACAGATATATATATATATATATATATATATATATATATATATTTAATTTAATTCCTATATCCCTGTGAGCACAGTTACTCTGGCATTGGTATTACACCAACCTAACCTCTTTAAATCAAAGAGGAAGGTGCTGCCACAGAGTTGTAGCCCTCAGGACTGAACAACTTCTCCCATCTAAAATGAAGAGAAATGTAGGTCCACTTACAGCACAGGGGCAATAACAATGTCTCAGTAAACCCTCATTGGCTAAAAGGTTAACTCCTGTGCCAAGGTATCACAAATTATGGTAGTTACCTCATTTAAGTGATAATGTACAAATGTATAGGTTTCATTTCTAAAATAAGTACAAGTGAAAAGCAAAAGAAAAAAAAAGGCATATTTAAGATCAAAACAGAAAAAAATAGATGTAAAAAAATTTAAAAAAAATTTAGCAGGTAATAAAAGATCCTCGGAATTCCTTAAAAGCTTCATATCAGCTTACCTCTGTCATGACCTTTTATTTTGTGGCGCCATTATCGGCATAATGGTGTTTTCCCCTGCACCTACCAAACACTCTAATTTCTATAACTGCTGTCATGAAAAGTCAATCCACCCATCCCTTCTCTGTATGTACTTTTTGAAAAAAAAAAAAAACCTCTGGGTGACAGAAAATTAGAAAATCCAGTCACTAGTTTTCTTTTTCTGTGTGCCATGTCACTACAGGACATTGGTGATCATGGCTCTCCACAATTTCCTCTCCTTTGTAGCCCTTAATAAATTTTGTCTCCTAAACATTGTTCAGCCAACCATCTACACAAGGTCTTCTATGTGCCATGTTCTTGTAGGACATTGGTGATCATGGCTCTCCACAACTTCTTCTCCTTTGTAGCCCTTAGTATTTTGTCTTTTTGTTATCTCTCCTAAACATTGTTCTGCTAAATTTGTTCATGTTCTTGTAGGACATTTGATCACAAGCTCTTCTCTTCTGCCATGCCCTTAGTATTTTTGGACATTTGGTCTTCTATCATGTCCTGGGACATTGGTGATCATGGCTCAATTTCCTCTCTTTTGTAGCCCTCAATAAATTTTGTCTTTTTGTTATCTCTCCTAAACATTGTTCTGCCAACCATTTACACAAGCTCTTCTATATGCCATGTCCTTGTAAGACATTGATGATCATGGCTCTCCACAATTTCCTCTCCTTTGTAGCCCTTAATAAATTTTGTCTTTTTGTTATCTCTCCTAAACATTGTTCTGCCAACCATTTACACAAGCTCTTCTATGTACCATGTCCTTGTAGGACATTGGTGATCATGGCTCTCCACAATTTCTTCTCCTTTGTAGCCCTTAATAAATGTTGACTTTTTCCTATCACTTCTAAACCTGACTTTGGCATCCATTTGCTGAAGATCTCTAGGAAGGTTAAGAATTGTTTTTCTCTCTCCTTCTTGCCTCCCTCCAGTCTGTCACATGAGTATGAAATTTTCCAAGTCCTCCTCCTTCTATACACCATGTCTCTTTGGAATCTTTGCAATCATGGCTCTCCATAAATGCACATCCTTAGTAGCACTTAATAAATTTTGACAATTCATTATCTTTCCTAATCCCTGTTCTGCCAACTATTTCCACTAGTTTGTTAGGTAGGTTATTCACTGCAGAACCCTTCTGAAAATGAGTGTGTCTACTGAATTTATCATTGCTTAATATGTTCCAATAGGCCAGTTATGGTCAAACTGCGGCCTGCGGACCACATGCAGCCTGTTTGGCCTTTCTGAATGGTAGGTTTAATTTCATAAGCAAAGAAACATTTCTAAAAATTTTATTTTGTTCACTCTCACTTGTTCACTCACACAGTCTCTCATGCATAACGACCAATATAATCAATATTTAAGTAGAATGTTCCTTGAATTTTGTAAACTTTCGGTGAACTAATGTTGTCAGTATTTTAAACGATTGGCAATTTCCACTAAAGGGGATTATACATGTAAATATCTTTTACTTTTGAAACAGGTTTCGGCATATTTCTAAAGAAGTTGTTTGTAAAAAATTTTTCTCTAATGAGAATTGTTTTCAAATGAATAAATCTCTATCTATAAAAGGCAGGATTGTGTGTGTGTGTGTGTGTGTGTGTGTGTGTGTGTGTGTGTGTGTGTGTGTGTGTGTGAATGAATGCATGGCCACAATTTTCGACGGATTTGTACCAAAATTTACATGCACATGCTCCAAGTTAGCAGAAAGGCCAAGACTGACTTTGCATTTCCCAACTCCCATCGGTAGTGGAAATAATTGATTTTTTTTTTTCATGCTTCTATGGCAGTTTTCATGTAGTTTGCAGCCATTTTCTACTGGCCTGAGTGAGAGCCTATAGCTAGCTGCCATGAATTGGCAGGAAGATTCTATTGGTCAGCGTGAGAGCCAACAGCTGACTGACATGAATGTTAACTGACATGCAAAAAAAAAAAATCGATAGCTGCATTCGTCACAAGTGGGAAAAATTTAAATCTGCATGGCACTTTACTCCAATTGGTTCATTCACTTGCTTAAACTCAACGTTGATTCTGATTCCGCAGAACTGGGTTGGGTGTGAAAAAGTATTTATTGTTAACATTCTTTTTCCATTTGTTTTTTCCAGTTACGAGTCCTTTTTTTAAAGCTGATCGTTTTGTGTTCATTTTGTTTAGTTCTTTTTTTCATAACAGATTTAATGTTTAGTATAGAGCTTAGAAAAAATTTTCAGTGTGAGATAGGCAAGAAGTAAGGCATGTAGCAACATCAGCACGGCAAAGGGATCTCCTTTAAAGGCAAGGAAGGGCAAAAATATTTTAAGTCAAGTGATAGCGATTGCTGTATGAGTCGTACAATTTTTGAATCAAGCACGGGCAACACCGGGCCATGCTGCTAGTTAGAAATAAATCCCATGCCATGACATGTGATAATCAGACTGTCATCAGCGATAATATTAAACCAAGACTTTGATTTTTTTTTTTTTTTTTTTTTTTTTTTTTTTAATTATTGTTGTAGCATACCTACGGACGATATTCCTATTCACATAAATACAGTAGTAAATGTTGGTCTGCAGTTGGAGATTCATTGTAGAATTCACTTGACTCACTATGGGCTTGGATACCCCACATTAAATTCGGCCTTGTGCCACATCTGACCACATGGAGCAGTTGGTAGATATCCTGCAATTGGAGGTTCATTGTGAAATCTACTTGGCTCACTTGTAACTGTTGACTACTTCTTCTACACACTACTGGCGAATCTTATATGTGTTGTTCTTGTCCTAAGTATTATCAGTCATTACCAACCTTCATGTGATTATTCTATTCAATATCCTTCCCTAGGTTACCACAATTATAAAAAAATATTTTCTCAAAAATAAAACTTTCCTACCATTTCTAAGGTATATGTTTACGTTTATGGTTTTCTGAATCTTTTTAGTAGTGCACTCCACTTTGTGGTGAGCCATAGATCATGGGGCCCACTGTTTGATAAAGGTTGCCCATGCCTATACTAGGCTAAGGGTGGAAAAATAAATTATGAGACTGGCCACTGAAAAGCTGAAGCAACACAGACAACACAAGATGGGGTAAACTCCAAAAACTATTTCTGTCTATATCTCTGAAATGAGGTATTATGATTATTTACATAATTTACATTATTCGGACTGTTATCCTCATCTTTATTGCCATATTCACAATGTTTCAGCTGCTGTACGCTCCAGCCTTGCTCAGGTGATTGCAATTTTGACTTTTTTATTAAAAGAGAATGTAACTTAAACAGAAAATTCTTGAGAGTGCTGATAATGAATTTTTCCAAAATGTAAATTTGCACTGCAGATTTTTTCAAATAGCACCTTGATTAAAAGAAATTTTCTTTTCCCAAGCCAACATACAGGACTATAAAAAAAATTTTAAGAATTAAAAGAAAATGGTTGAATTCAAAATGTTCTATTATTTAAAATATATAATATAAAGTGTTTCATTAAGACGGATTATATATAAAGGTGTTTCATTAAGATGGATCAAAATCAGCAGTAAATAAATCAGGGTTATTGGTGAAAATTTATTTATCTCTCTATTGGATCATGTTATTTAAGTCATGGCAATTATGTGTGAAAAATAATATCGCTCAAATGTCGCCAAATCTGAAAGAAAAAGAAAAAAATCATTAGACGCTTAAACTTCACATTTAAAATCAGTCCAAGTTATTGGAACACCCTTTAGTACTTTTAACTCTAGACCTAGAATTACATAACCGTTGTGAGGACTTTGCTAACGAATCTTTTTAAATTAATGTACCCCACACATTAAAACTATTAAAGGACTGAAAGTGAATTACTTAACTCTGATTGTTTGATTGTTAATCTTTTGATGGTTGAAATTGCCAAAGACTTGTGAAATCTAAAAGAAAAAAAATCATTAGACGCTTAAAATTAATTCACATTTAAAATAGGTCCAAGTGATTGTAACACCCTTTATAACAGACTGATAGTCATCCAAGGTTATAGAGCCCTTGTTATATTTAATTTGTGCATTTCTATGTCTTCTTGGAAAAGATAATGGTGTGATTTCCTGTTGCCTTCAACACGGTTTTGATGTCGGAGTTTCCCGTTTGCTAGGCAGCCTGTCACCCAAGACTGGATAGCCCAATCTACTTGGCAAATTAACCTCTAACTTGCCTGGATTCTTGCCTTCTACCAGCGTATTAGTGCTTTACAGCCATATCCTGTTGAAACACCGGTTCTTATACGATCACCGAAGTTAAGCAATATTAAACCTTGTCAGTACCAAGATGGGTGACTGCTTATGAATACCAGGTGCTGTAACCTTAGATCTGTGGGTGGTATAATGATAATGGCTGGCAACTTGAAATTGGAGAGAAGATTTCCAATTCCAGTCAGGTTCATTATGTTGATTTATGCACAGATAACCTTGGGGGAAGCTATGAATCCACCTCTTCTCCCCCTCATTTTACAGCCACATCACATTGAAAAGTTAATCAATGTTGAGCCTGAAAATCTTCCAAAAATAAAATATGCTTTTCTGAAACTTTATTTTAGGAATATTAGCTTATTTAAAGTATAATTAAACTGATTTGAAATAAATCCAATTTACTCTAAGCATCATCATCATCCTTCAACCCACTATGGTTGGTCGGAACTCCATTGACAATCCATTTCCACACTGTTCGATCATGCATTGCTGTCTAGATCCCCAATCCTCAATGTCCTGGATGCATCCTGGGTAAGACGTTAAACTATGTCCAGCAGCAAGGCCTCTGATCAGGAGGTTTTGAGGGGCGTGGAACCACCTGTTAATTGCTGGTGTTCTCATGTTCACCCTGACTTGGGGTGGTAGCACCTGTTAGGGTCCCAGCTATGGGCAAATAGTTAACAATTACCAGCAATACTTTTTTGAAAAAAAATATTACCAATCAATACCAGAAACAGATTTTGACAAAAAAAAAAAAAAATTACCATTTCAATACATTTTTTTTTTTTTGCCGTAAAAAAAAAAAAAAATATAAACCATCAATACATTTTTTCATAAAAAATATTACCAACAATACCAATTTTTGAATGAAATAAAACAAAACAAAACAAACCAATCAAAACAAAAGAATACATACTATATAAAATCTTTTTCTTCAGCATTAAATAACCCCATTGAGGTTGATATACCATAAAAAAGAAAAATAAATCAAACCAAACCCAATGTCCAACCCTGAGTCCCTAGCTATGGTGTCTAGGAAAGTCAATTTTTGTGTAAAGACATTTCCAAAAGGATGCCATAGGAGTAAGGATGAGACAATTTCCCTGTCTGCTCAGTGGCACTGCTTGGCAAACTAATCATTTTTGTTTTAGCTGAAGAAAGATTGGTGTCAGTTCTCCCTAAATAGTGTTAAGTGTTGCATGGGTTCTCCAACTGATGTTCTTGATTTTTCTGAGTAGATTTCTATATGCTCCATTCAGTCATCTTTCAAGGCAAACAGATATTGTCAAAATTTCTGATCCATACAGTAGAAATATTTGAGTCAATGTTTGAACGGTTTGGACTTTTAAAGAATATGGAAGGTTCAAGCGCCAAAGACCTTTAAGTTTGCAGGGGATTGAATGTCGATTAACCAATTTATAAAGGTTAAACAGGTCTCAATTCAATCTCTGATATTTCTTCTTTCAACAAATGTAACAATAAACAATAAACAAACAAGAGAAATAACAAATTCGACAAATCAATGCAATAACAACAATAGAAATTTCTTTTATCAATGCCAAAAGTCGTACAAGTTGTGTTGATACATTGAACTGGAATTATTGTTGAATTTGTGTACAACTGTTTTGTTGTTTGTTGCATAGATGTTTAAATTCAGTTCAATGTCCTTTCCTAGGGTGTTTGAGATAGTAATGAAAGTTTTTGTGGAAAGTATGTGTGTTGAATAAATTGTTGGATGAAAATTGTGTAAGTGAAGTGAATATTAACTTTGTTAAAATTAAAAGTTTCTTGGGAGCTGAATTTTAGATGTAAATTGGTTTCTGATTCACAGTTATTCAGAAGTTATCCCCCTTTGATTGTAGCCCATTCTTTAGAAAGTGATTTTGAATTGATATGAACTTTTAAATATAGTATATTCAGTTACCAAGTGTTGATATTAGTCAAGTTTCAATGAACTCCTGGCATGAAATAATTTGCTTTGCAAGTTGGTGAGTGAATGTTCTTTTCTGTAGGCTGGAATTATGTTCCGAAGAAATCTTTAACCTGAGAATCATAAATTCAGGAGGCAGTTGGGTGCTTGTAAATTTCTCACTAGCACGAATGTATAATGATCGCTGGATGAGTGAGTGTTGAGTCATCCACTGGCAGGTGAGGTCGAAACTGCTGTGTGGATGAGGGAGAGTCTGGAATGCTGGGATAGGAAAAGTTTTAACTTTCAGCATGGAGCGACAAGTTTGTATAAAAACGTTGAAGTCACAATGCTCAGTGTGCTGAGTGAGTGAATCTTCTGAGATTATGCTAAGAATTAGCCTTTAGCTTAAGTCAGGATGGAGTGACGTGAATTTGTTTTGGTTGCCATTGCTATCTCGCTGTCAAGATGTGCTCAGGTGTTGAATTTATTAAGTTTTTGATCACGTGTCAGCTTGAGAACCAGATTTTGGTTTAGCTTGTAAAAAATTTTATGATCCGCTGAATTATGGAAGTTGGATTCTACAAATTAAAAATATCACATAAATGCATTTTTTTAATGCAGCTGTTGCTGTTTCTTTAAGATGTTGACAGCTTGAATGACAGATTGATGTTTATCTAATTTTTTTATACAGTGGCTATATCTGTAAAAAATAACTGAAGAATATAATGTGAGTGCCTTTTTATATAATTTTTAACTACCTAGTAATCTTAAAAGTTTAGGAAAACATTCTCTGTAATCTAATGTTTTATTGAATTTTAGATACTTTGGCTTTAAATTTACTATGTTTATCACTCTTATTTTCTGATAATGTTGTGGATGGCTATCCATATCTACAAAAATTGGCACGTTTATACACATAAAAGAAATTCAAAAGTATATTTAAAATATTGGGGTTGATGATTTGTACTAAGCTTTTAGAGGATTTGGAGCGAGAGCAGATAGGAGTGATAGAGGAAAGGATGAGGAGAAGGATAGTGGATAGATCAAGGCAACTGGAGATGTCGATTGACATTACATTTGAATAATTGGAGATTATAGCTATCAGGGAAACAGGAAAAGGGAAGGGAGTTCCACAGGCGAGAGGTGCGAGATATGAAGCTATTGGAGTAGAAGAGACGGCTACATTTAATAGTTTCAACAGTGAAAGGGTGAGAGCGGGATGCCAGCCTCGTAGGGTGCTTGAATTCATGAAGTCCGGGAACCAGCGAATGCAGCTCATCGGAGCAATTACCATTAAACTATTTGTAAAAAAGACAGAGAGGTGACGGCACGTCTGTAAGAGAGTGACTGCAGACAAGATGCCAGAACAGGGCCAATTATATTGCATATCTGCCTCTGGATCTTATCAAGAACCCCGAGGCAAACAGAAGGGGCTCCAGACCATATATGGCAGCAATACTCCATGCAAGGGCGAATAAAAATATTACCTAACAGGTCAAAATAATGCAGAAATTTAAGAGATTTGAAACTTTATAAACTATTTTAATTAAAAAAAAATTTAAAACAATTCTTATAAAAATTCATTATTCATTGAAAACATTTTCTTTTGTTTTTTTTTTTTTTTTTTAAGACAATATTACCTAACAGGTCAAAGTAATGCAGAAATTTAAGAGATTTATCTTATTCATAAAAGTAATTAAAACCTTTTCTAGTTGAATAATGTATTAGTTTTATTGCATTTTTATTTTACAAATCAGATCAGATGTTTTGTAACTGGTGTTTCTGTTCTACAGAAATAATTGATGATTTAAATTCTCCAAAGAGTTCTGATTTTAACTAATATTAAGGGGGTGAAAATTTTATTCCTTGAAATTTTATATTAAATAAGCAGTGGGGGGTAACATATGTGGGTGGGGGAATTTACCAAGATTTTCTAAAAAAAAAAAAAAAAAATTTCTAAAATAATTTCATTCATTTGTGAATAAGTCCTGAAAGTTTCATTAGTATTAAATTAAAATTTCAACCGGTAATTTGATCAGGTCTATATTCTTTTCTGATTTTTATTCCTATGGCAATGGAGACTTCTGGGGTTATTGGCCCCTGTTCAATGCCATTCCTTCAGTGATTGGCAGGGTGGTGTCTCAATTAAGGGATGAGCCTTGCGAAATGGAGTGGCTCTTGTAGTGTGTCTTACTGGCGATTGTTTGAGGTAATGCTTTCTCCATCATTGTGGCTGGCAGAGGATAGCAAAAAAAAAAAAAAGAAACATTTTATTTATAGTTACTTTTTTCAATAAATCTGCCAATTATTTGATTTTTCTAAGAATTTTCAAATTGATATATTTTTTTTTTCACCGTGAAAAAGATGCTCTTTAGATTTTGCTGCTGATGCAAAAAAAAAAAGATTTTTAACCAATATTTTGAACATTCTAAAAAGGATTAGAGAGTATGATTCAATAATCAAAAAATACTTGGGTCTTTCCTCTTAGTAATAACAAAGATTTTGATAAAACTTTTTCATAAAGTTTGTCGCATTTTTTCATCATGGGATACTCTTTTTTAGTGAATTAGTGGAGGTACCTAGTTTCATATGTTTAGGTTGTATTACAATTCTAATCATCGCTTTTTAAAAGAAACATTGCTGTGGTGTGAAGGTAGTTAAAATAATAGTGACTTAATAGTGGTGTCAATGGAAAAACTGTCCTTTTTTGACATCTGGTACAATCATATTGTTATTTTAGTTGTCTGCTTTTATTTAAGGGTTCATTTCCCCTTCATAAAAAGTTTTAAAAATCACCGCCTTTATTTTCACCTCGTGTGTCCTTTTCCGTTGAATAAAACCTAAATTGCCCAAAGGTATTTTCTTCAGTCTCATCATTCGCTGTCCTCCTCTATGGCAGCATCGTCCTGGGTATGACAATAAACTACATCCGCATCCTGGGTATGGCGATAAACTACGTCCAACAGCAAGGCCTGAGATAATGTTTTCGGAAAAATAATGTTGCCAGCTATATGTTTTTGAAACCATAATGTTGTCATCTATACACTTTTTGGAAACAATAATGTTGCCAGCTATGCGTTTTTGAAACAATAATGTTGCCAGCGATATGTTTAATAGTACTGTGTGTGTATATATATATATATATATATATATATATATATATATATATAACTTAATTTGGCATTAAATGACCTACAGTGG